TTCTAAAGACACATTTAACAATAATAACTAATATTTTTAATAGTACTTTAAGGTTTACAAAGTGTTCCCATTTGGCAATGATAGACTGGATAAAGAAAATGTGGCACATAAACATCGTGGAATACTATACAGCCATAAGAAGAATGAGTTCATATCCTTTCCAGGGACATGGATGAAGTCGGAAACCATCATTCTCAGCAAACTAACACAGGAACAGAAAACCAAATACCACATGTTCTTACTTATAAGTGGGAGTTGAACAAGGAGAACACATGGACACAGGGAGGGGAACACCACACACCAGGGCCTGTCAGTGGCTGGGGTCTAGGGGAGGGAGAGCATTAGAAGAAATATCTAATGTAGATGACGGGTTGATGGGTGCAGCAAACCACCATGGCACATGTACACGTATGTAACAAACCTGCCCGTTCTGCATATGTATCCCAGAACTTAAAGTGTTAAAAATAAAAAGTGGTCTCATTCATTATCTTATTCCATCTGAGATGTGTCAGGGTACGATGAAGAGACAATGGACTTTGGAGTCAGAAAAATGTTTCCAATCCCAGCACTGACACTGTCAAAGTGGCTTCAACTCTTTGAACCTTATTTTGCCATCTGCCAAACAGATGTATGCATACTGTTCTCATGGCCCTAGAACCTAACAGATGATGAATAAATGCAGCTGCTGCTGTTATTGTTACATTTGCTATCGTCACTGATTTATCCAGTATCATCGAAGAGAGGGAATGAGCAAGTATCACCTCCCTTGAGGCAAGAAAGGGAAAATGTGTGAACAAATACGCTTAGAGGCTGCCTGAGTGTTTGCCTCCATAGGAGCAGCAGCAGGAGGTGTCTGGAAACAAAACGCAAAGCCAAACACAAGTTTAGTTGGCGATATTGGCTCTCCAAAATTCCCGTCTGGGTTTCTTCATTTGGATTAGAACATTAGACCTCAAACCTACTTGATCATCAAAATCACCAGTAGAAATTGAAACAAAACAAAACAAAACAGAAATAGAGGTTTCAGAGTTACTTATTTAATAAATGAATAAATGAGAAAAAAAAAAAAAGAAATACAGGATTCTGGCCCTAACCCATAAATACTGTACTTTGGTTCACACGGGCTGAGACTCCAAAATCTCTCTCTCTCTCTCTCTCTCTCTCTCTCTCTGCGTGCGTGCGTGTGTGTGTGTGTGTGTGTGTGTGTGTGTATTCCCTAGGTGTGCATAATCCTCAGGTTTGGGGACCACTGAAATAGACGATTTCCAAGGGCAAGCCAAGAGTCTGCTAAATTACAATGGTGTTTTTGAGCCTGTTTTGAATAATTGAGTATTTTCAAGGAGAAGGCATTTTCTTCTCTATTTGAGGTTCCCCATCCATACCAGTCTCTAGAGAGAGGTGATGCTCAGGCTAAGGGTGATTCTGAAACTCTTTTTAGAAGCTATTGGAGAACATAAAAGGTAGGTAAGGGAAAGAGATCCTTAGAGGCTGGGTGCCCACATTAAAAGCTGCAGGTATGCTAAGACTGAAACTTACTAAGGTCACAGGAGCCTTTCCTCTTAGTTCTTGATGTTTTTGACTCGGCTCCTTGTAAAATCTGAGCAGAACTGCCTTGGTTTCAATGGGGAGTGATGACATCCTTGAATCACCATGTGCTTTCTAGGCAGGCATTTGTGCTTCAGCTGTGACTGAAAAGAGCACAGGGAGTAGGGAGTAGGCTCAGGTCCAGGTGTGACTCTCAGGCAGGCATTGATATTTTGTGGGATCAGATCCTGGGATGCAACAAAGCAATGAAGTGGGAGATACGGATTTGTTACTGACCTCACCCATCCAAAAGGCAGCTACCATCCAGGAAATCCTGTTTATATCTATGGGAGGAGAGTAGACTAGCATGGCAAAGAGGACCCTGGAGGCAGTGAACCCTCTGGAGGATACATACATTGCTGCATTGCTTTTCAGGAAAAAGAATGTACTCTAAGGCAGACCTTGTAAATATCGTACAGCCTCTGTCCTTGCAAATATTCCCAATGGACAACATGATGTGTCCAGAGTTAGAATCACATAAATTAAGATTAACCATTCTTCCAGGAAGCTTGTTTTCATCACAGAACCATTTGAGGATCAGAAAGTAAACAGGAAATTTGAGGCAATGCCATACTATCACGACAGAGTTTCTGTATTACTTATAAAAGTCACTTTATTCTATTTGCTAAGTACATTTTTATAAAGAGGAAATATACCTTAACATGCATTCTTAATTTAAGAAAATCTGCACAGACCTTTTTAATAGGCTGAGTTAATTGTGGAAGCTGAATGATGCCAGGATGAAATAATTCTTAACAAGGTTGATGGGTAAAACCAACCACCTAAGACAAACAGTTTACAAAACTAGGGGACAAATGTTATAGCTTTCTGAAATAAGCATTCAACAATTAGAATTTCCCAGGATAAACTTACGCTATTTTAGTATTTCACACCAAGAGTTCTTGGAATATATAAATCTTGCAATATTATGGGAAAATTTTGTGCCCTTTTAACACAGAATTTTAACTTTATGGTATAGTATACTTTATCTTTTCAGATAGAACGTATATTTTAAAGTAATCATTTTATAAGTATTCACTAATTTTTTTCTTATTTAACTGACAAGATAAAATATTCTCAATGGCCAGGCACAGCAGCTCATGACTGTAATCTCAGCCCTTTGGGAGGCTGAGGCAGGCAGATCACTTGAGCCCAGGAGTTCAAAACAAGACTAGGCAACATGGTGAAATTCCGTCGGTACAAAAAGCACAGAAATTAGCTAGGTGTGGTAACATGAGTTTGCGGACTCAGCTCCTCAGGAGGCTGAGGCTGGAGGATCACTTGGACCCAGGAGGTGGAGGTCAAGGTGAGCCAAGATCGTGCCACTACACTACAGCCTGGGCGACCGAGAGACCCTGTCTGAAAAAAAGAAAAACATTCTCAATGTGTCTGTGTAAAACATTCTTATTCTTTGAAGGTTCTTTATTAAGCATTAACTGTGTCCATGACTTTAGTTATATGTTCTAGCCAAGATTTGGTCAAAGATTCTGTCAGTGGCAGAGAGGTGAATTTGTGACTTGACTCAGAGAATTTCAGATTTAACAAGAATTGATTGGTCACATATTTGTAATGTGGTGAGCTCTATGCCAAATGGAGTAAGTAAGGCTAAAAGAAGCAAAATAAACGTGAAAGAAACAGTTCCTGCTCTTGGGAAGCTTAAAACTAATGGCCCAGACAGGATGTGATATAGAAAACTATGAAATAACAATTCCCGAAGTGTGTGTGTGTGTGTGTGTGTGGTGTATGTACAGTATATGTATGTGTGTCTCACACACATACATATTTAGTGTGTATAAATAGTATGTAATGTTTGTATAGACTATGTATATATATACTAGACTACACATATTTGAGACTAGACTATATAGTTTATATATATATAGTAGTCTATATAGACTACGATAGCCAAGGTGGATCTGTTCCCCAGCACACACCTATGTCAGGCAGGATAGAAAACATATATAGCATACTATATGTAGAGACTACTATATATGTAGGATACAGTATTATATATATATGGTCTAGACTATATATTATTACATATATATCTATGTATACCTAGTTTATATATATAGCATACTATATATAGGCTACTATATATAGTATCTGTAGTATAGTAGAATATGTAGTATATATAGTATAGTATATATATATATAATATACATAAAGTCTATATATTTAGTCTGTCTATAGTATATATATAGTCTGTATATCTGTATATATATATATAGTCTGAACTATACAGATAGCATAGTACATACAGACTATTATATATAGTATATATAGTATACTAGGATATGTATAGTATATATAGTACAGTATATACATAGTATATATGGCCTATATATAGTGGTCTACTACTATATATAGTCTATATAAAGAGTAGTCTATATAGACTACTATATGGCAGTTTATATATATATAGTAGTCTATATAGTATGCCGTATATGGTCTAGTCTATATATATATACATAGTCTATATATAGTATATTAGTATATATAGTATAGTACGTAAATAGTATATATAGTCTATATAGAATAGTCTATAGACTCTATATAGTAGTCTATATAGTATGCCGTATATGGTCTAGTCTATATATATATACATAGTCTATATATAGTATATTAGTATATATAGTATAGTACGTAAATAGTATATATAGTCTATATAGAATAGTCTATAGACTCTATATAGTAGTCTATATAGTATATACATAGCCTATATACAGTAGTCTTTATGGACTACTAGTATTAATATACCATATATATATATATAAAATCTAGCCTGCTTGATGTAGGTGTGTGTTGGGGAACAGATACACCTTGAATGCCAGCCAGTTAACCACCTGGAGACAATTTGGAGAAACAATGAAGAGCTGAAAATCTCTTTTGTTTTACTCTCCAATTTGCCAAACTTCTATGGAGTACCTATTGTTTCTTAACACAGGAGATACAGAGGAAGAACAAAGAATATACGCTTTTTACATAGGCTAAGGGCAAAGGGAATTAACTGTGTGACTTTTCCTAGATGTCTTCAAGTCATGCATGGTTCAGCTCTTAGAATATGCATCTATTGACTGAAAGTTGCTGGAAACACTGACTCACTCACTCCTATGAGTCCTGACTGTGACATATTTTCCCTGAACCATTTCCAGACCCTCCCTGCTGTTCTCTCTGCTTCCACTCTTGCCTCATTACAGTCCATAATTCACACAGCAGTCCTTGGCCTTGGACACCAAGGTGGTGAGTAGACAAACTCTTCTTTTTCTCTGAAAGGTTTCATTAGAAATTCCTAAGGGTTGATGGACCAACTATTCACATGTACCTGTCATTACCTTTAACTGCTGAAACATCCACATGATCTTGCTCCATTTCCCATGGTAAGTTCTCACAGCCTTCATGTGCTTTCATTGTAGTTGCCACAAAAAGTCCTGCAGCTGAAGAATACACTGTTAATATTGAGATCAGTTTTGAAAATGCATCCTTCCTGGATCCTGTCAAAGCCTACTTGAACAGCCTCAGTTTTCCAATCCAAGGGAATAACACTGACCAAATTGCCGACATTGTGAGCATAAATGTAACAACAGGTGAGTGAGAGACCCATTGTTTCAGAATAAATGATTGGATGTCATGAGAAAGACTGAGCTCCTGACTATCAGAGCAATATTTTACTCAGTAGGCAAGTGAAATGACTCACCAGGACTGATGTGTGAGCCTATGACTTCAAAGCCTTCCTGAATGAATCCTCTATGAGTAAACTCTGCAGCCAGAGGTTTCTTATGTTAAGGGGTGACCAAGGGTTTGCTTGGTAGTTTGTATGATGCTTGTCATAAAATGGTCCCAAGATATGGCCAGGTCCTTTGTGATAAACTACTGGGTCCTCTTCCCTTGGGCAGATAAGCTACTGGGTCCTCTTCCCTGAATCCTCTTCCCTTGCTATTTCAATGGAATATATTCCATTGATGTAGAACCTATAATGCCAAAGAGAAGGGCATTTGGTACTTACTAATATCTTGAATATATATTACTAATATCTTGAATATTAGTAAGTACCAAATGCCCTTCTCTTTGGCATTATAGGTCAGGAAATAGGAAACAAGTATGTACCTGCATCAGAAGTAAGGCGTTAAGCAGAACCTCTCAGGACATAGACTGGATTTTCTGGTTGCTAACTATTTTTCCAGGTCATGCTAGCTTCCCTATGTCTCCAGAGACCATCATCCAAGATTTGGTATACAGTAGATGCTGTGAGAGAGGGCTTCCACTTGTCTGATAAAAGCGTATTGCTTTTTAAATTGGAAAGATGTTGGGTTTTATTATTCTACAATGAGGTTGAGAAAAATAGATGTTGGGTTTCATTATTCTAAAATGAGGGCAAGAAAAAAAATCTTGTTTTTGAAATTCTTCTTGAATTTGCATATTTCAAATAGTTCATCCCAATGTCAGTACATGCATTTTAATTTTTGATTCTTAATGTATGCTACTTGAAGTCATAGCTCCCTTATCACTCCTTTTGGATGCTATTTCCCACTGAATTATACTATTAGCACTAATTTCCTTGTATTAGTGGTTTTCCACTAACTGAGGGTGATTCTCAGTCACCAATATGCAGTTATAAGTCCTTCAGGAGCAGTGAGCTTCTGTTGTGTTTCCCACTCTTTATCCATAGAACATCTCACAAAACTAGGGTACTTTGGAACATACATAGGAATCACCATTCTATGTTTCCACCCAGCACAGATCTGTTACCTTTAGAATAAATTACTGGATAGATTTTTAGTCAATTTTGCTTCCCAATTTTTTAATGGAAACCTTTTGGTGTCTTTGTAGGTGCTAGTAAGAGAATCCAGTAAACGCAACAGACCAACAAGTATAAAAAATAGTTTATTGTTGAACAACTTGTAATTATAGACACCTGAGCTTTAGTTGTGAGTTTACCTTACATACTTTCAATATAAACATATTAACAAACTTTCTCTGATTTTTTTCTGCTAGAGGTGGGATGTCTTCAAGAGGCATCACTGTTTAACCATCTGAAAAACTTGGGTTAACAAGCTTCTTAATTAGAATGCATTTGACCTTGGAAAGTTAAACTTATCCTTCCAGAAAGACTGATCATTCACACATAGAAGGGGTGAATCCTTTCTGATTGTGAACTATGAAACAGGTTTGACAAAAGTGGATGCTTCAACATGGCAGAGAGAGCCTGAGGCTCGTGGACCTCAGGACCTGCAGGGAACAGCTAAGGGGAATTGTCCACAAAGAGGAAGGGAATGAGATGGGTGGGCAATGAAGGTTAGGCCTACTGACCATGGCAGTAATGTTGAAGCATCCAAACTTTCACCATCCTCCTCTTTCCATCCTTCCCTCGCCTCATTCTTCCAACAGCTTACCTTATGATTCTTTGGCAGTAATGACAAATAAAAAACTGAGGATATTTAGAATTGGACAATGTACGTAAAGCACCAATCAATATCTGAGATATGGCAGGTGGTCTGGAGGTGGTAACTTTTTCCATTCTTCTATGGCATGTTTGCATTTTATGTGGGACTCGAAAGTTCTTCAACTACTCCTCCCATAATCCTCGCTCACAAAACAGAAAGCAACAACAAAATTGCTTTAACGCTGGAATTTCATGTCAGTAAGAGAGAGATTTCAACAAGTGGGATCCTGTTGGCTATCCTCATATTGCCTCCAGTGGACACTTAGCTTCTTTGTTAGCAGCTCCAGTTTCTTCTGTTCCTAATTCTCCTGCCCAAGTGCCACCCACTTCTGGGACACGGCTGCATTAGTGCCCAAGGAATTAACTGGAACGTGTTGTCCCTCCTATTTCAGAAACAACTATTTGATGACTTCCCTTTGGGTAGTCACTCCATGGGACTTTGCCTGGACACCCATCTGCAGAACAAACAGCTCTCAAAGATGTGACTTTGGTCCAGCTTTGGAAATTGATTCAAAACACTCTTATTTCAGAGCTCCAGTGAGAACAGAGTTCATGTAGGCTGTTCACATCTGACTTGATATGCAGAAAGCACAAATTTACTTGCACTCTATATTTGTTATCTATTGATGCATAACAAAGTCTAAAACCTAGCATCATAAAGTAGCATTTATTATCTGAGAGTTTTTAAAATCATTGTATTTATATTCGTTAAGAATTAAGATGTAGAAGGTGGAAGTACTGATGCGTATTGGTAATAACAGTAATATAAAAATAAACTTCCATATATATATAAATTTATTTACCCTATAGACTATATATACAATAGTCTACAAATAGAGGTATGCGTTACATACATCCTGCTGCATTTAACATATAGAAAGAAAGCATTGGTCCTTGTTGCTCACTTCTGGGAGATGAAAATGCACTAAAGCCATGAAAATCACTCATTGCCAAGCCAACTTTGACCCTCCTTTTATACAATATATAGGCGCAGAGATGAACCAGCCCCAATCCAAAGGCTCTCACCTAAATTTGAGAATGCTTATTCCTTCTCGCTGGGGTTTCCATCAAGACAGGACCTCTTGTTTGCCTCCACAAGAGTGTGATGTAAAAGGACATTTTTTTCTTTTTGTCTTTGTGTCCTAAGTGGGGTTTTTATGGTAATGGAAAAAAAAAGTTTAGTTCTCTTATTAGAAGATAGACTGCTTCAGAGTTTTTGAGGGTCAGAAATCTTAGAGCAACTTAGCTGGGTGGTTCTGGCTCAAGGTCTCTCATAAGGTTGTAAGTAATCTATCAACCATTGCTTTTGTTGTATGAAAGCTCAACTGGGGCCAGAAATCCATTTCTTTTTATTTTTTTTTTTCCTTTTTTGAGACAGGTCTCACTTTGTTGCCCAGGCTGGAGGTAGTGGTTGCAATCTCAACTCACTGCAACCTCAACCTCCCAGGCTCAAGCAATCCTCCCACCTCAGCCTCTTGAGTTGCTGGCACTATAGGTACACACCACCACTCCCAGCTAATATTTTTGTGTTTTTTTTGTAGAGATGGGGTTTTGCTGTTTCCCAGGTTGGTCTAAAACTCCTGGGCTCAAGTGATCCACCTACCTCAGCCTCACAAGTGCTGGTATTACAGGAGTGAGCCACTGTGCCTGGACTGGAAAAGATATTTCTAAGTTCACTCATGTGGTTGTTGACATGCTCCAGTGTCTCACTAGCTATTGGCTGCAGACCTGTTCCTTGCCATGTGGACCTCTCCATGATGTGTCTTCATGCCACAGCAGTCAATTCCCCCAGAGTGAAGGGAGAGGGAGAAAAAGAGAGAGCAACCAAGAGGAAAGCTATAGTGTTTTTAATAACCTAATCTTACAAGTGCTATGCCATCATTTCTGCCATATTCTGTTGATTACATAGACTAGTCTTAGTACAGTGTAAGACGGTACTACAAAAGAATGTGAATACCTAGTGGTAGGGATGGTCAAAGGCCATCTTGGAAGTTGGATACCTTATACTTATCATCATAGACACCTGGTGGCTATTAACTATTAGGCATGACTATCTAAAAGATGACCTAGTCATTTGTCACTCAACCGTCACAGCAGTCATCTTTCAGATTGTCGTGGTTAATAGCATGGTGATGCATACATGCAAACATCAATTTCATGCAGTGCTATTGAACTTCTCAGAAAGGTAATATAAAGTCAGATGAGGATTTTCTTGAAGAATGAATACCTGCAGGCTATAAATGCAAATATGGTGACCACCTTTTCCACCTTCTCTCTCCTTGCTGTTCTGGTTAACTATAGTCTGCAGACTTGCTGGAAATGAAATCTGGTGCTCCTGTGAGACAGGCTATGGGTGGCCTCGGGAAAGGTGTCTTCACAATCTCACTTGTCAAGAGCATGATGTCTTCCTCCCAGGGCACCAGTGCAGTTGCCTTAAAGAACTCCCTCCCAAAGGACCTTTTTGTGAGCTTCAGGAAGGTAAGTAACTGCTCATTAAATGCTCTTTGAGTGGCTATTGAACATCGGTGTATGGCCAGGCGCGGTGGCTCATGCCTGTAATCCCAGCACTTTGGGAGGCCAATGTGGGTGGATCACCTGAGGTCAGGAGTTCGAGAGCAGCCTGGCCAACATGGAGCAACCCTGTCTCCACTAAAATGCAAAAATTAGCCAGATTGTGGTGGTGCATGCCTGTAGTCCCAGCTACTCAGAAGGCTGAGGCAGGATAATTGCTTGAACTTGGGAAGCGGAGGTTGCAGCAAGCTGAGATCATGCCGAGCACTGCAGCCTGGGAGACAGGGGGAGACTCCATCTAGACAAACGAACAAATAAAAACAGTATACAAATGTTTCTGCTTTGTGTATACTCAAACACTAACATGATATTTTAAAATATTGTCCTATGTTTTTCAACAGACGTTACCCTGAACATGAGAGTCAGATTAAATGTAGGCTTTCAAGAAGACCTCATGAATACTTCCTCTGCCCTCTATAGGTCCTACAAGACCGACTTGGAAACAGCGGTATGTTTTGACCCCAAGAGCCTCTTAGCCAACAAACTTTGGTCTGAGCTGAGTCTATTGCATTCACAGTGAACAGTTGCTTGGATCTGTCAGAATTTACTGATGGGGATTTGTTATTCTTTTGCATCTGAGATGGCAAATTAATACATGCTCAAATCAAATCATGTTTAGGGGACAGTGTGGCATCACCTTAACCTATAAGTAGAAGTTTTTCTCAGGGTGGAACTGGTTCAGGTAAGATTTGGTGGCGTCAATTCACTAAAATTTATTCTGAGCCCCAAGAACCTAGCCTACAAGCACCAGTTAATGCGTTTCTATTCTTCACGTATCACATGAATGAAACCTCTAACAACTTTTCGGCAGACCAACCCGTGGCTGGGCACAGACGGTTTCAAACCACTCTACACCAGCGGTCACTAGACATTCATACCTATGACAGATATAAATTTATTTGCATAAAAATGGAGACTATTTTACCAGTGTTAACTGTTTGCCAGCCACTATCTTAAGTGCTTTACACTGAGTTGATTCATCTAAACCTAAACACTTTGCTGGAGTTAACCTATTTCGAACAGAGCTTCCCAACGATGTGGCACAGATTATTATAGGTGGGCTGAGAAAATGACTTCCATTAACTTTTCTGGCAGCCAAGCCCTGCCTTAGGCTGTCAGCAGCCTCCTGCTCATCCCAGTGTGTCACCCAAATATTGTTATTTCCCATGAGTGCCTTGATGAAGTGCTGCTTCAGAAGAGCTCTGGGATATTTGATTTACATTTCTGGCATATAATATTTCTGCACAGCAGGATAATCCTCCTCACACACATACTATACTAAATTATGTGCTTTGAAAGAAAGAGAGAGTTACATAGCAACCACCCAGGTATCTGGCACACCAATCAATGCTGCAGTATGGCAGCCATGAGGATGCCTCTCACAGACCTCCAACTACAGGTCATGTCATGGAGCAAGGGCTGCAACTGCTGCCTCTGAAATCCATGACCATCATTGCTGCTCCCTACCAATGAAGGGGCACAGCACGTCTGTGTCTGGCAGACACTGGGACTCCTTGGAAGGCTTTAGTGAACCTTTCAGGCTCAGGCTCAGGCTAGGTTGCTTTTATCCAACCTCCCTTCCCTCTCTCTTTCCTTTGGGGGTCTGGTGACTCTCTCTGTCTTCCTTGCTCCCTCCACATTTTCTTTCCTAGGCATTTCCCTGAGTAAATTTTTTTGCGCATTTCATCTAGTTTGCTAAAAGGGGTCTACTTCTTGGAGGACCCAGGCTGACATAGATAGTTAGGAATTACTTCTTCAGAAATCTAATGTCCACAAAATTAACAAAATGGACAGAAGATAATTTTACCCAGTGTGATTAAGAATATGTGGTTTTTACTCTACTTCAAATATTTTGACCTACCTCTCTCTAGACTTTGATGTATGACACTCACCTTGCTTTATTTTTCAGTTCCGGAAGGGTTATGGAATTTTACCAGGCTTCAAGGGCGTCACTGTGACAGGGTTCAAGTAAGGCTATTGTAATTTGGTCATTTCTACTTTATGGCTGGGATCCATGTGGTAGTGAAGGAGGAAAACCCCCTAGAGAGGCATTATTCACGTGGAATGCTCAGCAGGACCAGTTTGGTAGAGGTGAAAAGAGTGGTTCACCCCTTACAGATGTACCTGTTTAAAAGGAAGAGAGAAGACTTGTGTTCATTCTATACACATGCAAATGTTTTTGCAAGCCAAGATAAGGGATAAAAGTTTGTAGTCCAGATAGTTCAGAGATATAAAAATAAAATAATGCCATGTAATGATGTCTTTCTACCAGAAGATCCTACTGGCCAGTCAGGACCATAGATTTGCATGCTGCAACAGGCAGTTCTTGCTATTTCGTTTTCCTAAGCAAGTAAGCCATAAATGTCTAGACTCTTCTAGGTCAGCTATTGTTTTACTGAACTGAGTGGTCTCTGTCCAGGTCTGGAAGTGTGATTGTGACATATGAACTCCAGACTACAGCACCATCACTTGACCTAATTCATAAAGCCAATGAGCGAGTTGTACAGAGCCTCAATCAGACCTACAGAATGGACGAAAACTCCTTTCAAGCATTTAATGGCAGTAAGTGAAATTGTTTAGAGATGGTCATGGTATTTATGGTTATGCTTAAACCTAGGAAATCTAGCTTATATTACAATGTCCTCTGTGAAGCTAGACACTCCAGTACCTGGCACAGGGGGTTCTGTACCATCTCCTCTTATGTCAGTGCCTCCTAATCTGACTAATGTCACTGTATCTGGGGTGTGCAGAAGAGGGGCACAGGGATTTTACAAGGGGGTCACAGAGCCATCTAGGTTTGTGGATTTTCTAAATTAACAGATCCAAAACATCCAAAAAAGTAAAGTTAGTATCATAGTAGAGATTTAAATATCCACAAAATGCAGCAATAGGAAATAGAGGGCCACTGTTTTAGAGCAGTAAGCCTCAGTGTAGCCCTCTGTCATCCAGGCTGGAGTGCTGTAGTGCCATCATGGCTCTCTGTAGCCTCTACCTTCCTTACCCAAGTGATCCTCCTACCTCAGCCTCTGGAGTAGCTGGGACCACAGGTGCATACCCCCATACTTGGCTAACATTTATTATTTATTATTTTTATGTTTTGTACAGATGGGATCTCACTATGTTGCCCAGGCTGGTCTCATACTCCTTGCCCCAGGCAATCCTCCCACCTTAGCCTCCCAAAGTGTTGGGATTACAAGCATGAGCCACCATGCCTGGCTGTGTTTTCACTTTTATCTGTGAAATGTCAAGGGAGTGATCTCATGGATTTTTACTGCCAAAACAAGAATAATAGTTACAGTTTCTCCAAGTTACCTCCCGATGTAGCTCTCTTTCACTGCTCCTATTTTCCAGACAAGGGTACTAAGGCTCAGCCAGGCTAAGCAATTTCCCCAGGGTCATACACTTACAGGTGGGACAGAACCAGGACTCAGATCCGAACTTATTGTCTGTAAAGCTCTGAATCTTCAAGAGGTCCAGTAGTATTAGGAAATTCTTATTTTTCAAGCAGACTTTATTATAGTTAATTAATTTGTTTTTACATTTCTAAATCATTCAAGACTTAGGTCAGAACTTTTAATAAGCATGAGATATCAGTTATTGATAAGAAGTAGTTGATATTATTCCAGTCAGTAGCAGAGAAACTTGATGTTTAAGTTAGTTTGTGTGTTTTTTTCCTAAGCAAATGTGCAATTTTCTACCACACTTTTTGAAGTATTGAAAATAGCTTTAAAATCTCCATTACTGCCATTAAGGAGCCATAGGGCAAAGACCCCAATCTGGAAACCCTGCACCTCCTCAGGGCTCAGACACCAGATGCATGGGGATGGAGTTAGGAGACACATTGCCTCAGCCTGTTCAGCACCACAGATGCTGTCAAGACCTCCAAGAGCCTTGTGGTGGTTGTACCTGGTGAGTAGGATCAATGACATTTATTTACTTTGGGATCTTAGTACCTTTTCCTTGGGTTTCCAGATGATATTAAGTTATCTGTCACACCAGAAATCATCTTTGAAGGGGACACAGTCAGTCTGGTGTGTGAAAATGACATTTTGTCCTCCAATGTGTCTTGGCGCTATAAAGAACAGGAGTTGGAAATTCAGAACAGCAGCAGATTCTCGATTTACACTGCCATATTCAACATGACCTCGGTATCCAAGCTCACCATCCACAACATCACTCTGGGTGATGCAGGTAGGTCTCCGTTCAATAACTGGTGTGAGGAATGAAATGAAGAGCTTGTAAAGATGCAAATATGTAATAGTGTTTTATGTAGATATGTAAATATTGTTTTTCTCTTTAAAGAGAAGTCTCCTGGTTCAACCTTTCAAAACTGAAAATTAATCACATATGTATTAGTTCATTTTCACACTGCCATCAAGAAGTACCTGAGGCTGGGTAATTTACTGAGAAAAAAGGTTTAATTGACTCACAGTTCTGCATGGCTAAGAAGGTCTCAGGAAACTTACAATCACGGCAGAGGAGAAGGGGAAGCAAGGCACGTCACATCTTACATGGCAGCAGGAGAGAGAGAGAAAGTCAGTGAGGAATTATGAATTGTCAAACATCTCATTTTAAACCATCAGATCTCATGAGAACTCACTCGCTATCCTAAGAACAGCATGGGGGAACTGCCCCCATGAGCCAATCACCTACCACCAGGGCCCTCCATGGACATGTGGGGATTACAATTTGACACGAGATTTGGGTGGAGACATACAGCCAAACCATATCACCATGGTATTAATTATTAATTAATTTTAAAATTAATTATTTTCATTATTTGCTCTATTATACTACATATTTTCATTATTTTGTTTTGGAATATAATATTACTTTATTTTTAATTTTCAATTGATTTTTAAAAAAATTTTAAATAGCTTTGTTGAGGACAGAACTGATATATAATAAACTGCACATATTTAAAAAGTCTTGACACATGTACACCTGTGAAGTCATTACCACAATTAAGAAAGTGAACATATTCATCATTCTCCCTGCCCTCACCAAATTTTCTGGTTCTCTGCTACTATCCCTCCTTTCTGCTTTCCCTTGTCCTCTGGCCCACCCTGAGCAACTATAGAAGCATAAGGCTTAATTCTTCACTAAGACTAGTGGTGAACCGGACACATTCTGGAATGCAATAACCCCTATTAGATGGGGCCATCTCCTTTTCTCTGCATGAGGAGGTGAACTGTAGACAGATGGCTCCTATCACATAGTTGTTGATTTTGATTTTATCACATGGTTAAATACTGTGGCAATATTATCCATCTTCTTCTAATTCTCCAAGTCTTTTCGATTTTTCTTTCCTACTTCTTCTGTTGTTATATTTCTTTCCTTATTAGCAAAGTCCCTGAGATATCTACCATTTCCTCAGAACATTTCTGTACCCTACTTTGTGGCATCAGAAATATCTGCACTTCCTGAATTCCTGAATGGTTTTTTAGGCATTTTTAGATCAAGTTTCAGATGCTTTTGAACATGATGCTTCATGAAGTACTGTCATGATCCATGACATGAGGGTACCATTCCTCTATGAAAATACACATATGTCGTAATAATATATATTTTGTGTATTGTATGCAGGTGAATATGTTTGCAAACTGATATTAGACATTTTTGAATATGAGTCCAAGAAGAAAATAGATGTTATGCCTATCCAAATTTTGGCAAGTGAAGAAATGAAGGTGATGTGCGACAACAATCCTGTATCTGTGTCCTGCTGCAGTGACAGTAACATTGATTGGATAAAAACAGAATGGAAGCAGGAAGGAAACATAAATATTTCAGGTGAGAATGTTAAATAAGCCCTTTTGCAAATAGGTTTTCGCCTCTTGGCCAAGTAAAAATGGGAGATATGGTGTGTGGAAGGGGAAATGTCAGATGGCTGCTATTTTCTGGACTTTGAACTGTGAAAAGGCATTAGGTTTAATGCCAGCTCCAGGCATTAGGTTTAATGCCAGCTCCAGCTTAGCCACTCTAGAGCAAGACTCCAAAAATATATGCACACAAGTGTCATGCTGTGGTTGTAGATGAGATCTCAGCAGCAGAAGACACAAGGGAGAAGGATCCTGATGACTTAGGTCCATGGCATTTTGCATTAAAAAAAAAAAGACAAGAAAATTTGTGCTCACCTTCCTTTCCATCTTCATCAAAGAGTTAAGGATGAGGTCACTTGTCGTTGAGGTCTGACTTGGAGCTTCTAATTTCTGTGTCTCTTCTCCTGGTGTCTGGTCCTTCTCACTTCTCTGTCTTTGTATCTATGCATACCTCAAAATTTTCTTTCTCTGTGTTTCCAGCTTTATCCCCCTCTCTCTCTATAGACCTGTTTGTCTCCCAGTCATTTCATACCAAGTCTGATCCTGTTAGCTTTTCTTTTCGATCAGAAATCTTACCTAAAGTTCCCTATCCTCCAGTTTATATTGATGAATAATAATAATAGTAATAAATTAAAACACTGTCTCTGTTTTGTTTAACAGTTTATAACCCTTTAAAAATATGTTACTGCTTTTTAATTGCTTGACCACAAATTAGAAGCATTTTATTTCTGATTTGCAAATAAGGAAATTGAGGTTTAGATTATATGGCTTATTCAAGGTTATCAAAATACGAAAAGAAAGAAAGAAAGAAGAAAGAAAAACAAAGAAGAAAGGAAGGAAGAAAGGAAGGAAGGAAGGAAAGAAGGAAGGAAAGAAGGAAGGAAAGAAGGAAGGAAGGAGGGAGGGAGGGAGGGAGGGAAGAAAGGAAGGAGGGAAGGAAGGAAGGAAGGAAGGAAGGAAGGAAGGAAGGAAGGAAGGAAGGAGAGAGGACTCAGCAAAGGTCTTGTTTCACAAAATCAGTATTTGTCTTGGCCAAACTATATGACACATGCCTGGTGGGCCAGCACTGGAATGAGCTAGTCAGGCAAAGTTAGGACAGTGTTCTACCTAGAAATTGCATAGAGCAAGATCCAACTCTTCTCTTAAGAAACAACAGTATAATGTGCTGATCTGTAAAGAAAAAGCCTTTTTTTTCCCATTTATTTATTTTATTGAATTTTAGGTTTTGGGGTACATGTGAAGAACATGCAAGATTGTTGCATAGGTACACACGTGGCAGTGTGATTTGCCGCCTTCCTCCCCATCACCTACATCTGGCATCTCTTGTTGGGGGGAAATAGGGGAAGAAAAAGTCTTTAAAGTAAAATGTGGATTTACACATGAAAGACGTTAGTGGGGTGAACCTTCCTTTTACAAAGCCTTAGCTATGGAACTATATTACATTTTTTTTTTTTTAATTATCAGAAAAAGAGCAGTGGCTCACGCTTGTAATCCCAGCACTTTGGGAGGCCAAGTCAGGTGGATCACCTGAGGGTGGGAATTCGAGACCAGCCTGGCCAACACAGTGAAACCCCATCTCTACTAAAAATACAAAAAATTAGCAAGGTGTGGTGAGGTGCACCTGTAGTCCCAGTTACTCGGGAGGCTGAAGCAGAAGAATCACTTGAACCTGAGAGGCCAAGGTTACAGTGAGCAGAGATTGCGCCACTGCACTCCAGCTTGGGTGACAGAGTGAGACTCTGTCTCAAACAAAACAAACAAATGAAACCCCATCAATATTCAGGCAAATTTTCCTAAGCACATGTATTTTGCAAAGCATGTTTCATCTGCAAGCATTTGTATTAGACTTCAAAGTACTCCGAAGAAGGTATGTGGTAACTGTTGAAAATATTGACACATGATACATGATACATGGAGTGACTTTCCTGATTTCTAAGGAAGACGAGGTGTAGGTATCCTGAAGAAACTGCCGGATGAAAGGAAGACTTACACAATTCCTGTGGTACTGGCTTAGAAGATTTCAAACCTTAAAGGTGAAAAACTTGCCTTCTGGCAAAGGAACCAAGAAGTCTGTGGCACAGATGCTTAGAGCGGGACAAATGACCGCAGAACAATGGATTTCCTGCCTCAGGGCTGGCCACCTGGGGACCTGCTCCGTGGCTTCTCTGATGAATTTAGCCTCTGCCCTGGCATCCTGCCCTTCTTTCTCCTGCCCTTGCTGCTTCCTCCCTGCAGCTCTCTTTTCCAAATTCCACAAGCTCAACTAACAACCATTTTTCCCGTTCTGTAGAATGCAAAAAAAGCAAAATAATTTACCCAAAGCATTTGGAAGTGAATAAATGACCTCCTCTCAGAAATGGTTGCATATTCAAAGCACTTTGGGAAAGGATAAGACAGAAAGGAAATAATCAGCAATGGCAGAATTTCTAACTTTAAGAGACTAAAATTCAATGAAGATTTCCTCCCACATGGGAAAAAAGTGAAGACGTATTCTGTAATGGGATCACCATGATCACAAAATAGTTATTATGGCAGATTCAATATATTCAACTCCTTTTTTTTTTTTTTTGAGCAACCTCCACCTCCTGAGTTCAAGCGATTCTCCTACCTCAGCCTTCTGAGTAGCAAGGATTACAGACATGTGCCATCATGCTCAACTAATATTGTACTTTTAGTAGAGATGGGTTTTATCCATGTTGGTCAGGCTGGTCTCAAACTCCTGACCTCAGGTGATCCGCCCAGCTAATTTTTGTATTTTTAGTAGAGACGGTTTCAACCATGTTTGCCAGGCTGGTCTTGAACCCCTGACCTCCGCCCACCTTGGCCTTCCAAAGTGCTGGGATTACAGGCAAGAACCATTTCACCTGGCCTCAACTCTGTTTTCAATGTTTACACTTATCACCTTGGTTTTTCTCCATTCCCCACCCAAAGTCTTGCAAAGTAGGTACCATCACAACCATTTTATAGAGGAAGGTCTGGGATGTCATCTAACTTTGAAAAACAAAATTATAATTGCATACTTGCTCTTCTCTAGAAAGCAAGGTATCAGCTTATTACCTGCATTCAGTATCTTCTGTGAAGAGCCTCTGTTTGCACAGCCCCAGAGGTGTTGTAGGAAACACAATGTTAAGGATGCCAGTTTGGAGGTCCTGCTTGTGGTTTCTGAGTTTGCCATCTCTTTGGAGCCTTTTCTCCACTCTTTCTCTGAATCTCAGCCTAACAGAAGTAGTTACTGTTCTCTGAACAAGACCTGCATTCCAATAACCATCACTAATGGTCATTGTTGGGGCAGGCCCTAGTCGGGTACTTTTCTAAGAATTTATGCATATTATCTCATTTAACCTTATAGTGGTCCTGGGAAGTAACTGCTATTACTAATCCCCAATTTACATTGGGAGAACTGAAGCACAGAGTGGTTAAGTGACTGTCTCAACAAGTAAGTGGTGGAGTTTGGGATCCAAAGCCAGGCAACCTGGGTACAGAGTCTGCAGATCTAATTATCACACACCCCTCCTCTCCATTCAGAGAAGAAATCTGTTTAAATAGTAACTCTGTTTATTAAAAAATGATTTGGCCACTTTGTTACTAAATAAAAGAGACAGCTAGGATGGCAACCATATGCTTCTCATTACAGGATCTCCTGAGATACAGATAGATTCTGTCTGCAGCAAATACGTCTTCAGGGTTGACAGAACCCAATGCCCAAGCGGGTCATCTGGAACAACAGTTGTCTACACCTGTGAGTTCATCAGTGGCTACGGAGCCAGAGGCAGTGCAGACACAAAAGTGACATTCACCTCTGTGGGTAAGGACTCTCCCTAGAATTTTTAGCCATAAATAGGTTGCACCCTAAATAAGTGCTGGCAATGAACTATGAGCAAAATAATGTGTGGTTAGGGCAAATCGCACAATGGGAGATAGAAATGGATTTCCCTCTCTGCCATTTAAATTCAGAGGGAGTCTTTTTAAAATTGGGAATGGTTGTGGTAGAGCACAGTGGTTGCCAGGAAGGAATCCAGGGCATTCTGTGAGTAAGGCAGGAGGTGGACTGGGAAGTAGGGTTTCGTTCTCGGGTTAGCCCTATTATCATTGAATTATGTGTAATGAGGATAATGTCCCTAATTTTCCCCTTTTCCCCCATTACCTCATTCTCCCATTCTTGAATTTCAACAGCCTGGCTCACTCCCCTCTACCCCTCAACACTCTCCTTCACCCCTCCTCTCCCATTTCACCTATTCCAGAGACAGTGCTGCAGAAAGCCTTAATACTCTGATTCTTTGTGGTTATTTTATGGTTGGAATGAGTGATGTTTTAGTGTCTCAATTAATTGTTTAGTTAGACTTCTTAAAAGTGTCATCTCTCCTTATATCATAAAGCATTATAATTTCACCCCATGTGTAAAAGGAGGACATTCAAACTTGTTTTTTCACCCATCTTACAAAAATGAGCAATTTAGATTAATTATTAGTCCCTTTCTGAACAAGTTTAGAGAAAGGACTGATATAAGCAATACTTGTTAACTGTTGTTCACGTTTTCTGCTATTGTGACTTAGCAATTTTACAAAGATCAAGATTATGTTTATGTGGGCATAGTCTATCTAATATATGTCTATAATATATAATACATAGCTATAATATATAATATATAGCTATAAAATAATCATATGTCTAATCATTTGTCTACAGGGTAAACAGTTTTGCATTCCCAGTTTTAACACCAAGAGTTGTGTTCTGTTCACATAATCAAAACTGTTCTCACTATAGAAAACTGCAAATTGTTCAAAGTACCCATGAGCTCTTCTAGGGAAATAATGCTTTCAGATAAACCTAATCTTTCTCCAAATTACTTAACATAACTTTACCCCTATCTGCAAAACTGGGACCTGTCTTAGGGACATGTTTAGCCTTTGCTGAAAATCATTGGTCAGGTAGTTTGGAATCTCATCAGAGAATTAAGAGGACCAAATTCATAGTTCCATGAGCCTTTTTCTTCTTACTCACAGAAATAGCTAAGCCTCAGAGAGCCATCTCAAGATGCCTACAGCTGGGGAGGGTAATACAGGGACATATTACACCTTGCTAAAGTGGTTTTGGGCTGTATCTGAACATTTGAATCCCAGCTTCTAAATGGTAACTACGAAAAGCTCTGATATCATTGGATTATGATTAAGAATAAGATTTTTAGGCCAGGCATGGTAGCTCATGCCTGTAATCCCAGCACTTTGGGAGGCCGAGGTGGGCAGATGGTTTGAGCCCAGGAGTTTGAGACCAGCCAGAGCAACATGGCAAAGCCCTGTCTCCACCAATAAAAATAAACATAAAGTTAGTCAGGCGTGGTGGTGTGTCCCTGAAGTCCCAGCTTCTTGGGAGGCTGAAGCAGGAGGATCAATTAAGCCCAGAAGGTTGAGGCTGCAGTGAGCCATGATTGTGCCAGCTGGGGTGACAGAAAGCAATCCTGTCTCAAGAAAGGCAAAAAAAAAAAAAAAAGAAAAGAAAAGAAAAAAAAGAGTATAAGATTTCACAGTGACTGGGAAAGTAGACCAGCATCAGTGGGCTCACAAAATGAAGCTATTCACTTATAGAAGACTGAAGTAATGGTGTTTTGAACTATCGACCATGTAAAAATATACTCAAAGAGAAGTAGAAGCTTAGATGAAAATAGTGGGAGGCTCATATAAGCTTTTACATTTGTAATAGTCTTATTAATATTTTAGATTAATAATTTTTCATGAACCTGTGAGAATCTTATTAAAGGAATAAATATATAGTGTAATTAATTACATATAAATACTTCTATTACTGTAGTTATAGAGCTATAATTATAATTAATGTCCCCATACATCCCAGTTTACCTGAAACAGTACAGGTATAATTATTAGGTTAGTGAAAAAGTAATTGTGTTTTTTGCCATTACTTTTGAATCACCCTATATTTGGGCAATACATGCTATGACTCTTGTACTTAAAACGTAGTTCCAGAATTCAGTCTTTCACTTATTAAGCACTGACTGTGTACTAGACACAGTGCTGAGTGCTGGGGATGCAAAGACACAGAGGTCACATTTCTGCCCCTGAGGGCTCACATTTTTATGGAGGAGAGATATGAAAAGAGAGAAAATAATACACAGTGTGGCATTATTAAAAAGTATTTTAACAGAGTAGAGAATGAGATTGTTAGAGGAACCCGGCCATTTGTTCTCCCTTGAGGTGTTACAGAGGAGGTTGGAGGGGAGCTTGGGATAAGTTGACACTCCTAAGTTTGCAACCTTTTACCCTGCTGATTATCAGGAGATAATTCCAGCCAGAAAAGTGAAGTGCCCGAGGTCCTAAGGCATGAGATGGAAATGAGTACAGTGCAGAGCACCACCAGGAACAGCCTAGAAACGAGTAAAGCCTGGGAGCAGCAAGGTACCAATCCTACCTTGACGCGAATAGAGTCAGGATGCTTCGGGTTTTTGTTTTGTTTTGTTTTTCCTGCCCCCTCTGAAGTTTCACTCATGTGTCAATGTCCCCAGAGATACTACACATTGGACTTGTTGTCAGTTTCTTTTGTCTGTTTTGTTTGCCTTTTTTCAGCCAATCTAACAATAACCCCGGACCCAATTTCTGTTTCTGAGGGACAAAACTTTTCTATAAAATGCATCAGTGATGTCAGTAACTATGATGAGGTTTATTGGAACACTTCTGCTGGAATTAAAATACACCAAAGGTTTTATACCACGAGGAGGTATCCCAACGGAGCAGAATCAGTACTGACAGTCAAGACCTCTACCAGGGAGTGGAATGGTGAGTGAAGGGCCGGACACCATACTGTACTCCCTGGGTCCTTGAAAACATGCAATAATAGTTACCATCCATGTAGGGTCTGCTCTGAGACATGCCTATGCCAGCCACTTTAAATTCAATATGTCCTCACACTTAATGCAACAGTCCTTTGAGGGAAGAGGCCATTATTTCCATATTTACAGATGAAGTAACTATGCTTAAATAACTTAAGTTGTGGCTGGGCACGGTGGCTTATGCCTGTAATCTCAGCCCTTTGGGAAACTGAGGTGGGCGGATCACAAGGTCAAGAGATCTAGACCATCTTGGCCAACATGGTGAAACCCCGTCTTTACTAAAAATACAAAACTTAGCTGGGCGTGGTGGCGAGCACCTGTAGTACCAGCTACTTGGGAAGCTGAGGCAAGAGAATCGCTTGAACCCTCAAGGCGCAGGTTGCAGCCTGGTGCCTGGCGACAAAACAAAACTCTGTCTCAAAAAAAAAACAAAAAAACCCCCCAAAAACTTAAGTTGTAGAGCCAGGAATGGACTTGTGTCTCTAATTCCAGACCCTGTGCTCTTGCCATTAAGTTATGTGGATTGTTTTGAAAAGTACTTTCACTAGACACTTGGGAGTGTTTCATCTAACCATGCTTTAGAACAGCTAGGTAAAGATTTTATAAGCCTGGTTCCAAAAAAAGAAACACCTTTCAGTTTCCTGTTTACCTCTATCCATTGTTTGTACTGTGAGGAAATGCAAATCTCTGAAAGCAAAACGAACTTGGTAGACAGAACTGCTACAATAGTAGCTCATATTTATTGAGCCCTTAACTATGTGATAGGCACTATGCAAAGTATTTAAATGTATTAATTGATGTAAAACAATAAGCCTAGAGGATACTGTTATCATTAGCCCCATTTTACAGATGAGGAAACCGAGACTCAGTAAATTACCCAAGGTTATATTTTTTCAAATGTAACAATGGCAGAGCCAGGGTTCAAACTTAGATTGACTGGCTCCAGCGGCCAACTCTTAGCCACTCCACTCTGAAGCCTTTCATTAACTATGAGGTTAATAAGCCTAGATTCCATGAGTTCCATGTCGTCTTTATATTTTTAACTAGGGCCTAGGAAACATTGTAGAAATATCTAGTTATTATTTGGGTTGTACTTGGTAGTATACGTTTAGGAAGTGGAAGTTTTTTTCTTCCAGGCTGACCTCAATCCTGCTCTGTCCAATTACTCTTTCCTACTGCACGTCAATAACCTAGAAAGAATTTTAGCTTTTCCAGTCACATTAATCTGTTAAACAGTCCCATAATCAGTTGTTGATAAAACATATTATCATCTAAATTTACTACACTGTTGTTTTATATTCAATTTAAATTCCCTCTTCCCCCCAACAGGAATTAAAAGGAGTTTCCTTTCTCCCCTCATTCTACTCATTCGCCTTCTGGCTAGCTGCTGCTTCTGACTTTTCCAGAGCTGGGGCAAAGGGAAGCAATGTAAAGATAATTGAAGGGTCTTACTTAACTGCAGGTGCCACTGTAATCTTGCTGTATGTCTGCACGGCAGCTGCCCAAATGACTTGTCCTCTGGGGACATGATGAACAGGGCCTGTTCACTTAGAGTTAGGAGATGGGGCGTCATAACACCACAGTGTTCCATCAGGTTAACAATTATCTTCAAAAAACCTCCCCACCCCTGCACACGCCAAATTTCCCATTTATTCCTTGGGTTGGTAGAAAAGCCTTGGAGTAGAAATTGAAATTCTTGTTTAAAATCCAATTTTGCCACTAACAGGCTGTTTGACCTTGAATAAGCCACTTAATTTTATTTGAAAGTAAGTGCATATTTACGTGGTCATAGGTTAGTCCTTCTAATACATGGAGAACCCAGGAGAGGAGTCAATCAAGCATTTTTTCCTCTAGTGTCCAGGAAGGTGTGGTATTCCTTTACTAAAGCTTGAGAGGGAAAATTAAACCTCTCCTTAACCTTCCCAGAAAATGCCTTTGAAGGGCAGTTATTTCATTCCATCTCATTTTTGCTGTCTTCTACTCAGGAACCTATCACTGCATATTTAGATATGAGAATTCATACAGTATTGCAACCAAAGACGTCACTGTTCACCCGCTGCCTCTAGAGCTGAACATCATGGTTGATCCTTTGGAAGCTACTGTTTCATGCCGTGGTTCCCATCACATCAAATGCTGCATTGAGGAGGACGGAGACTACAAAGTTACCTTCCAAATAGGTTCCTTGTCCCTTCCTGCTGGTAAGATGCTCACTGCTGAATTGTTAGGGTGTATTATTTCACATATGTGGAGTCTAGAAATTTACTCTTAAAATAGGGATCAAGAGACATAGGACTGTATCAGAATGAACAGAATAGAATCCCATGAGTCTATGTAACCTTCTATTTTGCTATGTGGCTGATGGTTCATTGGTTTGTGGCAAAATCTTGGGAGTTTGCAATGGTGGAGTGAGTCCCTTTTTTGTTTGTTTTTAATTGGGAGAAGTTGAAGAAACTATTGACATACCTTCTAAGGAATATGGCGGACTAGATATTCTGACAGTCCTTTCTTCCATGCTATAAAGTTGCGTGCCACAAAAGCACCACGAAAATCCTTTTAAATGCATAATTGAGCATGTAAGAAGGTATGAGAAATAACCAAGTGCCAAAAAAGTAGAGGAAAATAAAATAGAAATGATGCTTTAATACTGGAGCTTCCCTGTGGGCATTTGCCAATAGCAGAAACCCAGAACCTTGGGTTTTAAGGCTCCTTTGGGCATAAAAGTAAAAACTGTGCTCCCCAAACAGTACCTGGGGCACTCCCATCCCATTGACACAATGTTAAGACCTTCAAAAAGTGACATGTTCAGTAAAATACTAAGCTAAGAAAACAAACTTCATCTGCCAGAGTTGAGGCCTTGGCCTCATCTCTGGGTGGACAAAACGTTTCCCCCAAGAATTATAATTGTCCTCCATCACCCAGGTTTGGTCTTTGAATTTATATTTCCTATGTGGTTCAGGAGCTCCAATCTAAGTTTAAAGTTGTCCATTGGTAGCACGCTATGTCAACCAGCAAAAAAAAGAAAAAAAAAAATCAAAGTCTCTCTGGTAGATGGTACCATAATCCAGATCCCTAGGGATTCCCAGAGATTAAAGTCAACCAACCTGAGCTCAAAATCCAAAATCTCAAAACACAGACACCTTCATGAGGGATTTACAAGCTCATTTGTTCTTTCAATAACTATTCTGGAGGACTTACTCAATGAGAAACACCATAGTAGGCAATGAAAGGGAGACAATATACTTACTGAATACCAGCGTATACTTACTGGATACTTACTATGTGCTGAATTATATGACTTGTACTATGTTAGGAATTATGGGATATGAGAAGGATGTAAAGAAATGTAGAAAAGAAGTAGGGTACATATTTTAATATTTAGAAGGGTCCATGCCACAAAAGGCAATGCATATAAAATATCCAAAAGGAAGAATACAGACTGAAAAAACAGTGGAAGTTCAGAAAAGTGGGGACTCAGTAAACACTGTAGTCTTTAAAGAAGACTGCATGGTAGAGGGATATAATCAACCTGGATTTTGATGTATGCAACATTTCAATATTCTGTGTCTAACATGCATACATTCCGTGCTTTCTGTGTGCCAAATATTGAGCTGAGCATCAGGAGATGGAAAAATAAATGACAAGGTACTTTCTCTCCAGGACCTTATGGGCTAATAGAGAAGATAAACTTATAAAGAGGTGTCTATAAACCAATATGGTAATGGCAGAATAGGATAAATGCTCAGAGCATGATGAAATTTAGATAGGGAGAGGGATTTCTGGGATGCTGAAAAGGCATCCTGAATGTCAAAAATGTGTGACTTAGAGTCATGAATGGTAGAGGAGAAGTTTTGGCTATCATACATGCAAATGTGGGCTTACATACTTCTAAGAGCCAGAGGCAAAAACCTATTAAAAATGAATATGGCACATTCCTGGGGAAAGTTTAGACAATTTTATTCATATTAGGTCATCTTAACACGATTCGTGCGTTAGAGACTTACGTTGTGACTTAATTCTTTCAATAATTCTATCTTTAGCAAAAGAAGTTAAAGAAAAACAAGTGTGCTACAAACACAATTTCAATGCAAACTCAGTTTCCTGGTGTTCAAAAACTGTTGATGTGTTTTGTCACTTTACCAATGCTGTTAATAATTCAGTCTGGAGCCCATCTATGAAGCTGAATCTGGTACCTGGTAAGAGCGTTTTAAATTACTTTAAGATATTATAGTCAGGAGCAGGGACTTATTTATTCATTCACTCCCTCATTCATCCCCATTCAATAAACATGTGTTAAATATCCTCACTGTGGGAGGCCCTGGGCTCACCACGGGGTATTTAAAAGAACAGAAATAAGCCATGTCCCCTGGTCTCAAGCCTAGGGGAGAAATATATGTGATAAAAAATGTTATTATATGTAATGCTTCAAGAGCTCAATAGAAATGTTGTGAGTGGCTTAGCTCTACTGAAAGCAGGTGGGGAAAATGTGATCAGGAAAGCCTTCCAGGTGAAACGGGACCTCAGCTGAGTCTGGGGGCTAAGGAGTTCACCAGGCAGACAGGAGCCAACAGTGTCTGGGCATGGTTGAGATCCTTTGAGGTTTCAGCAAAGGAAGGGTGTCCACAGTGCACTGTTTTTCTGAGACAGGGCTACATGAAAACAATTGATCTCAAGAGTAGACCACTGCCTTTCCCATCTGTTGCCATCACTGAGTCAATTTTCCATTGCGTAGTGTCTTTGAGGTGAAAGGTCATAATTATGGAATCATTGCTGTGCTAACCCATGCTGGGGAGCTCCCCTAGGCAGCAGAGAGGGATAGATCATCCTAATAGAAGGTCATCTTAAGGGAGAATTTTATGTTAAGGCAAGAGATAAATGATGACCCTGGGCTTCTATCATAAGCAACACCTCATCCTCCTAAATCTTCTCAGCAACGGGACTTGTGATAGACAAAGGATCCATGGCTTTATTACCACTTTTGTTTCAGTTTACTGAATAACTTGTAGTCATTCTCACATGTTGGCAGCTAGCCCCTGGGCACCAAAACAGGAAATAATTTAGAGTCACTGTCTTCTGACCTTGCCACGCACAAGCACAACCCCTCCAGAGTGCAGCAAGGTCGCCTTTTCTTGTCCCCCTCACTCATCTTAGCCAACACATTTTATTCACATATCTTTGTTCTTCTCTTTCTTTATACCAAATACGGTTTCACCTCTTTTTCCCAGTAGAACATTACTTATTTAAGATTTGTATATAGTGGTTGAGATCTTAGTTAATGTTAAAAAAAAATGTTGATGATGGAGGGGTCTCATCAGAATCAGGGTCCGCTGGACATGAGAGATTCTACAGCAAGTGCCATTTTCCTATCCTTGTCAGGTTATGAGAAAAAGGTGACATATAATCACCTTTAAGGGAAACCAGAAGGAACAAATGCTTAAAAATATTGATTAGAATATTCAGGTCATGGGTACCCAGAATTGCTACTACTGATTACGTCTTTGGATAATGGCAGTGATTCTCAATCTTGAAAGCACATTGGAATCACCAGGGAGGTTTAAAAACCTCCTGATGCCTAAATCGCAGCCCTGAAGATTCCCATACACTTATCCTGAACACTGGTGTTTTCAAAAGCTCCCCAGCTGATTTTATTATGACACAGTTGAGAGTCTCCAGATTAAGGTAAAAAACTGTTAGGAAAAGCAAGTTCAGATTACAGAAGTCAGGTTCATGTGGAAAATACTGAGGGGCTTTGGAAAATCAGGGACAAAATTAAGACATTGGGTAGCTCTGAAAAGGTCACTGAAAGCAAAGAAAAAGAGGAATTCAAACATCACAATTCTACCTAGGCCTGACCGTATTTCTACTATTTGTCTCTTCCTTGCAATGATCTCTTTTATTTCAATGTTTCCAACACAGGGGAAAACATCACATGCCAAGATCCCGTATTAGGTGTTGGAGAGCCCGGGAAAGTCACCCAGAAGCTATGCCAGTTCTCGAACATTCCCAGAAGACCTGGCAGTCCTGTTGGCGGGATCATCACTTACAAATGTGTAGGCTCCCAGTGGGAGGAGAAGAGAAACGATTGCATCTCTGCCCCAATAAATAGTCTGCTCCAGCTGGCTAAGGTGATCCTTAAAGCTTCCACTCTGACCTCTTGGTGGGGAGATCTGTCTGACTTACCATATTTCTCAGCACTTACGAAAATGGGTTTGGGGTTGCTTTGTGTTGCTCCAAAACTACTTTTATTTGTGTATTTCCAAAGGAGATGCAACCATAGAGCTTCATGAAATGCCTACACTCAGATATTAAGACAACTAAGTATGTGTTCTTCTCTCAGACCAGCAGGATACCTTAACCTTGACTTCTCAGTACCATGTGTTCAATACCTCTGGGGGCAGCAGTATTATCCTCTGTCTTATTGCTCTCCTTTGAGTAATTTTAATATCAAGAAAATAGCTGCAACCCTTTCAGAAAAAGTAGCAATACAGAAAATAAGATTCATCAATTTCTTTTTAAAAATAGCTGGGCTTGATGCTTTTATAGGTATGAGATTTTCCTTACTACTTGGAAGTAACTTGTACTTCTGAAGAAGCGACCACCTGCCTCTCTTACCTACAATAGAGGTTACCGCTGTGTAACAGGGGTAAAGTTCCTTTCCTTCTCTCAATATAAATAAGTGGTACCTCCACACTTGATTTGTCGTAAGCTAGACTCCTAAAATTCCATGAGTTACATTAAAAAATTCTGGTGATGCAACTAGTGAGGTTATAGCCAATGATGACATCTTCAGACAACCAGGTCCAAATCCTCTCACCACTGGGAGAAGAATTGAAAAAAAATTAGGGTAATACTTATTTATGTTTTGTTTAATTAACTTCTATCTCTCCTCTTGTCTCACACCAAATTTATTAAAATATATATTATGTGTAAAGCATTATTATAGGTGCTGTCAAGGTAAATGGGCCAAATCAGATCTTGGTCTCTGATTTGATAAAGAATATAATCTAACTGGGTAGTTACATACACATTAATTTGGCTAAGATCAATTAAGAAGATCTTCTTGGGGAAAAAAAAAAGCATCTGAGCTAGACCTTGATGGATGAGGCATGAGGGCTATAAATTATCCTAATGAAGAAAGATAGAAATTGTAATCTGAACTTGGTGTGGGACCAAGCCCCAATTTTAGATACATTTTCAATGGAAAAGGATCATGTTGGTTTATCACGCTTCATTTGATTTAACCATTCAGCATATACTTACTGGATACTTACCATGTGCTGAGTTATATGACTCATACTATCTTAGGAATTATGGGATATGAGAAGGATGTAAAGAAATGTAGCACATGCTCCATGTTGTTAAGGAGCTTATAATTTAATTAGAGCAATATTGAAATTAGAACACAAGATGACATTACTGGAGATGCCACAAATGAAAAGTATGTCATATAAAACCAATACTTATGCATTCAGAGGAAGGAACTTTCCTGGGTTGGAGCATTCATCAAATTATTTTCCTAGAAGATAGAATATGAGCTATTCTATGCATATAAATAAGAGTTAGAGTGTTAGAAAGTAGAAGTGTAATCATTATAGGTAGAGTCACCATATAATCTATAATCCAACGGGGGACATATTTTGAGAATATCAGAGGGCACTTTTAATCATTGTACTAAGAGAAAAGGTAGAAACCAGACCTGTCCCTGGAAAATTGGAAGGGACAGTCACTTTAACTATTGGAAGAGTAAGTGATATGAGGAAAACCAAAGAGTGGCAGCTGTGTTTCCATGCTGACTATCCACGTGACCGTTGTACTGACCTTTAAGCTACTTCTCAGGCAATCACATCTAGCTTCTCTTTTTTTGTTCCAGTTAAATACCAGGTTGACATATGTTTGTTCCCCTTCTGTGTGCAATCTTATGTCATATTCTAAAGAGCATGCATGGAATGCTTAAGGGATACATTATCTTATGGGAAGTACTTACGGAAATGGAACAAAAAGGAAACTACAGATGTGAGAGATTTTGCCAGGAATGGATCAGCTGGATTTGATAGCTGAACTGATCTGTAAAAGTTTTTGTTTTGGCTTTTGTTTTACTAGGCTTTGGTCAAGAGCCCCTCTCAGGATGAGAAGCTCCCTACATACCTGAAGAATCTTTCTATTAGCATAGACAAAGTTGAACATGAAATCAGCTCTTCTCCTGGGAGTCTGGGAGCCGTTATTAACATCCTTGATCTGCTCTCAACAGTTCCAACCCAAGTAAATTCAGAAATGATGATGGTGAGTTTGCTTAACCTTTGCAGGAGTTTTGGGTCTTACCTTTTTACACCTCAGAATTTGTGTTCAAGAAACATTAATTCCTCCCCATTGCAGCTTCGCTGTCTTTTCCAGAGCAATGCTCAGGATATTACAGCCACACATTCTGCCAGCTACAGCTTTTAGGATATTAGGAAATGCTTCCCATATTCATTTTGAGACCTTAAGAATATGTCTTAGTGGCCAGGTGCGGTGGCTCACGCGTATAATCCCAGCACTTTGGGATGCCGAGGCGGGTGGATCACGAAGTCAAGAGATCGAGGCCATCCTGGTCAACATGGTGAAACTCTGCCCCTACTGAAAATACAACATTAGCTGGGCATGGTGGCGCACACCTGTAGTTCCAGCTACTCAGCTGCTTGGGAGGCTGAGGCAGGAGAATTGCTTGAACCCAGGAGGTAGAGGTTGCGGTGAGCCAAGATCGCACCATTGCACTCCATCCAGCCTGGGTAACAAGAGCGAAACTCCATCTCAAAAAAAAAAAAAAAAAAAAAAGAAGAAGAATATTTCTTAGTGAATTTCTGCTTTATTTTCTTCATAAAATGGAATGAATTCTTACTTGCTTTCCAGGAAACTAGGAATTAAAGGTTTTCAGAATATACAAGATGAGATTCTCAAAGGTCTAGCACTAAACATGAACTTTAAAGTAATTGTGGGAGGATAGGTTCTGGAAGGATAGAGAATTCTTCCACCAGAGTTCAAATGAAAACACTTTAATGAGGGATACCTACAGAGGTAAAGACAGGGTTAACAAACAAACAAACAAACCAGGGGTGGTGAGGCACTCAGAGACCAGCAACATTTAGAAGACATTATCACCCCCTAGGAAAAAGAGAAAAGAAGGCAAACAGAGCCCAGTGAGAGCTGAAGTCTTGAAGGAGGGACCAGTCTGCAGAAGCGGTAGTCTTGGAAGGCCATAGGTGTAACCAGACATGTGCTGAGGAGAAAGGGGACTGAGCGGAGAGAGCAGTGGGCAGCAGGAAAAACGTATCTCAGTGTCCCTCTCCTCCCACTCTCACATCTCTTGCCAATGTCTCCTACTGGCCAAACTCAACCTAAACCAACTGGAAACAAGCTTAGTAACAGAGTCCAAAGAGGTCATATAAGTGTCCTAGGGCTGGCAACATAAATCACCACAAACTGGGTAGCTTAATGACACATTTTTTCTCTTACAATTGTGGAGGCTAGGACTCTAAAATCAAGGTGTCTGCAGGGAAGCATTGCCTCCAAAGGCTCTAGAGGAAAGTCCTTCCTTGCCTCTTCCAGTTTCCGGTGCCCCAGACATTCTTTGACTTGTGGTTGCATCACTCTAATCTCAGCCTCTGTCTTCACACGACCTTCTTCTCTTCCCCTCTTTTGTTCTCCTCTTCTGTCTCTGCAAGGATACTTGTCATCGGATCTGAGACCCACACCAGTAATTCAGGATGGATCCTTAACTTCATTAGATCTACAAAAACCATTTTTCCAAATAGAGTCACATTCACAGGATTCATGTATTATGTCATTTTGGGGGCCTTCATTTTAACCTGCTCTAGGGGTCACATTTCCAAAGGGTATAACAGGGCAATAAAGGGCAGATAAATTATTTGGACTGAATGAAAAATGACAATCCCATGACTATAGGAGAGAGAATCAAATTGTTCAGCAGAAAAGGAAGATGCCTTTTACCACACTTGTATAGCTCATTCAATGCTCAGGATTTGAAATGGTTTTCTGACACTTCCTCACCATTGCTGGTGAATACCACCCACCAAAAAGCCTTTACAGGCTTGAGATTTTTTTTTTTTTTGAGATGGAGTTTCCCTTTTGTTGCCCCTACTGGAGTGCAATGGCACCATCTTGGCTCACTGCAACCTCCACCTCCCGGGTTCAAGCGATTCTCCTGCCTCAGGCTCCCGAGTAGCTGGGATTACAGGTGGCTGCCTGTAATCCCAGCACTTTGGGAGCCCGAGACAGCCAGGTCACCTGAAGTCAGAAGTTCAAGACCAGCTTGGCCAACTTGGTGAAACCCTGTCTCTACTAAAAATACAGGCTTGAGATTTAAAATAAAATGAGATAAAATAAAATAGTAAATATCCCTGCCACCCTGCTGAATTGGCCTCTGCCAGCCTAATGAATTGGCCTTAGTGAGTGGTGTTTGTAGCGGGTGTGCCTCTCACTGTCACCATTGCTAAATGCTTACTGACATCCTTGCCGTCTTGGGGACCCATCCTCTGCTAAACTTGACCATAAGAAGGTCATAAATCCCCACTGCCTGTGGTGTCTCATTTCTGTCTTCTCTTTTCCTCTTATCTTTATGCAGTCAATTTCTAGGAAGATGTTATTTTTCTCTTTATTATGATAGAAAGAATTTGGTTGGTTTGACCCCAGACCATTTCACTTTCAGCATGTGCTCTCTACGGTTAATGTCATCCTCGGCAAGCCCATCTTGAACACCTGGAAGGTTTTACAACAGCAACGGACCAATCAGAGTTCACAGCTACTGCATTCAGTGGAAAGATTCTCGCAAGCATTATGGTCAGGAGATAGCCCTCCTTTGTCTTTCTCCCAAACTAATGTGCAGATGAGCAGCATGGTAATCAAGTCACCAGAAAACCTAAAAACCTATCAACAGAAATTTGTTTTCTCAGATTCTGACCTCTGGGGCAATGTGGTCATTGACAAGAGCCATCTAGAAAACTTGCAGCCGGATTCATCTGTTGTCACCATGGCTTTCCCAACTCTCCATGCCATCCTTGCCAAGGATTTCCAGGAAAATAACTTTGCAGAGAGCTTAGTGATGACAACCACTGTCAGCCACAATATAACCATGCCATTCAGGATTTCAATGACTTTTAAGAACAGCAGCCCTTCGGGTGGGGAAACAAAATGTGTCTTCTGGAACTTCAGCCTTGCCAACAACACAGGAGGGTGGGACAGCAGTGGATGCTATGCTGAAGAAGGTGATGGGGACAATGTCACCTGCATCTGTGACCACCTAACTTCATTCTCCATCCTCATGTCTGCTGACACCCCAGACCCTAGCTCTCTCCTGGGAATACTACTGGATATTATTTCTTACGTTGGGGTGGGTTTTTCCATCTTGAGCTTGGCGGCCTGTCTAGTTGTGGAAGCTGTGGTGTGGAAATCAGTGACCAAGAACCGGACTTCCTATATGCGCCACACCTGCATAGTAAATATTGCTGCCTCCCTTCTGATTGCCAACACCTGGTTCATCGTGGTTGCTGCCATCCAGGACAATCGCTACATACTATTCAAGACAGCCTGTGTGGCTGCCACCTTCTTCATCCACTTCTTCTATCTCAGCGTCTTCTTCTGGATGCTGACGCTGGGCCTCATGCTATTTTATCGCCTGGTTTTCATTCTGCATGAAACAAGCAGGTCCATTCAGAAAGCCATTGCCTTCTGTCTTGGCTATGGCTGCCCGCTTGCCATCTCGGTCATCACGCTGGCAGCCACCCAGCCCCGGGAAGTCTACACGAGGAAGAATGTCTGTTGGCTCAACTGGGAGGACACCAAGGCCCTGCTGGCTTTCGCCATTCCAGCACTTATCATTGTGGTGGTGAACATAACCATCACTGTTGTGGTCATCACCAAGATCCTGAGGCCTTCCGTTGGAGACAAACCATGCAAGCAGGAGAAGAGCAGCCTGTTTCAGATCAGCAAGAGCATTGGGGTCCTCACGCCACTCTTGGGTCTCACTTGGGGTTTTGGTCTCACCACAGTGTTCCCAGGGACCAACCTTGCATTCCATATCATATTTGCCATCCTCAATGTCTTCCAGGTGAGTTTTACAGTGTGGGACTTTCAGGAAGATTTTATTCCTGTAGAACAAATTAATGATAGAAACACAAACAAGAGTAGGAATGGGGAAGGATTTCAGTCCAGAGGAAGCCTCAGCTCTAAAGAGCAGTAATAATGAGAATTCAGTGAGATGGAAAGGACACATTCTTCTGGTCCTATGGAGCCTCATGCTTCTTATCACCTACATTATAATTTAGTGGCATTTGCCAGCCTCTGCTTAATGTCCTGATTACACTAGTAAAAGGAAAATCTCCATTTGTGTAAGATTATCTTGATGCAGTCTACTATCTCTTAAATGAAAATCCTGTCTTTGAGAGGACAGGAATCACCCCTTTCTTGTTCATCAATATATCCCTAGTGCCAGATAGGGACCTTGATACAGAGTAGGTTCTCAATAATCATTTGAATGAAATAAATCCTATGTACCATGTAGCAGGTTCTCTGGAAACATCAAAAATCAAAGAATGAATGACCTGTGAATGCCGGACAATCTGCTTGATTATACTACAATGAAAAAACATCTTCTTTGCTTTCCTGCAGCACATAACTAATCACAGGGCAGGCCAGTTTGTTAGAAGAACTATAACAGAGGTATAGACAGCAAGCCTTTAAAGTGCAAGGAAGGGAGTGATTAATTCTGTTTTACCCAATGGAGAGGTGGTAAGGATAGAAAAACACCTGCCCAGGGATTGAGGCCACTGCAAGCTTGTGGAGAGGCAGAGGCTGGAGGTGCACTTAAGATATTGCTTTTAGGATGCTTGTGTGAAGAACATATGAACCCTGATTTCTGCTACTGAGTCTGTGCCTCCAAGCTATGAAGTTCATATGTAATAACCTTCATAATATGCCTTATTTGGAAGGAACTAGTTATCCCACCCCATACCCTAAATTCTCATCACAACCATGTGAGGAATATTGAAGACACAAGAGGTATATTAACTGCATAACCAACAGGACTTCCAGTTCTCAACTGAAGGAAAATGGGAAAATAGAAAATATCCTTCTAACATTATAACAGAGTCCCTTGGTGTGGAACATCTCCCTTTGAACAGTATTGTGTACTGAACTCATTCCATAAACTCAGATGGGGAAAGAAACAGTACAAATTTAACACCAGCTTAACAATACTTTCTCTTTTGCTGGTCAATAGACTGTAATTAAAATGCACTTCTTTTTAATCTTTTTTTTCTCAGGGATTATTCATTTTACTCTTTGGATGCCTCTGGGATCTGAAGGTAAGAACAATGGCAGTTTTATGTTTCTAGAAAAGCCTAAAGTGCTTGTGGCATGTTGAAGTTACGATAGCGTCTTTTAAATGATGCAGGTACAGGAAGCTTTGCTGAGTAGGTTTTCATTGTCGAGATGGTCTTCACAGCACTCAAAGGTAAACCCTTTCTCTGCAGAGACTTTTCATTTTATAACCTCCTATATTCCACTAGCCTTCTGAAGTACAGAGTACTAAATGTTTTCTTTGAGATTTTGATCAGTTAGGTTAGATATATTGCACCCTCAAACCTCCCCCTCAACAGTTGTATTTGGCATAGATCATTCCATTGTTTTTGCTTCTCAAGTCGTTCTGCCTATTAAACAGAGCCATGGAGCTGTCATTGAGATGCGACTCCACATATTTAAATAGGGTTTAAAATCATATGTAATATAAACTTAAGGTTGAAATCAAACGTTCAATGAGAAGCAATCTTCTGGGGGATTCAAGGCATTAAAGAAAACAAGTTGAAGAATAATAATGGATAGAATTTTCTATAGTTCATTTTGAAACATAGTAATCACCCTTTGAGATATTTGACAGACTTTCACATATGAGAAAATACTAGAAGCCTAATGAACAATAAAACTTGCTCTGACAGTTATTTTTCTAATACAGATGACAAGATTCCAGTGTTTTAACGTGACCTCTGAGAGTAGCACTAGAGATGCCAGCAGTGACAGCTAGAGGGTGGAAAATTAGTCTTCCTAGAGATAGAAACAACTTTCGTCCCAGAAATTTGCTTTTTGATTGTCCTTTATTTTCTCTCTTCTAGTCAACATCCCTGGGTTCATCCACACCTGTGTTTTCTATGAGTTCTCCAATATCAAGAAGATTTAACAATTTGTTTGGTAAAACAGGTGAGTAGTGACCTCTAGGTTCTCCGTGGTTGCCCAGAACACATTTGCTCAAGTGGGGAGTCTCAACACCCCGACTCTTTCACCCTGCTCATGGCATTTACCTGAAACGTCCTCTTTTGAGGTAGAGGTTAGAGGAACTTACATATTCACAAATCACCAAAAAGTGGGTACAGAGGGCATCTGCCTTCGCTGGGCAACTCATGAAGAATAAGATTTGGAGAATCTAGACAATAATTTGGAGAGCCATCTGTCAAAATATCATCCATGAAAATAAGAACTGTAAATTGCTGGTCTCGTCAAACACGGAGTTCTTTTCAATTTACGTTAAGTAAGAGTAGATAGGTCATGTTACTGGGTTATGGGGCAGCAAAGAATACATTTAGTAAATCTTACTACAGGATCTCACTGTGTAAGTTTGTTTTCTTTTTTGTTCTTTTTCATAAAGTGTGCTTGTGTTACACATCGAAGTGTACAAAACTTCATTATGTAAGGGATCACCCAAGTTAACTATTGGAAATATTTGCAGTTAAATTTCTACCTTGGAGATATGAAACGAAAGTAATGAGTAACTTTAGGCAATGGATCTCAGCTATTCTGGCAAATTGAAACCCCTGTCCCATGCCACCATCCCTCCCCCACAGGAAAATAAGCCCCAGGATTTCTTCTAGCTTTTTGAAGCTGAACAGATCTCACAAATGCAGAGTTGAGAAACGTGTCAATATTCCAGACGAAGGTTTTTCACGTACAAGCAAATTCTGAGAATGCCTATAACTGTTAAAACTCCAGAGGACTTGGGGTTTTTTCTGCTTCAATTTGATGAATTACTCATGAAACTGATAGACCTTCACTTCTGATTATGAAAGTCCCACTTGGGCCTGTTTTGGGTCCCCATAAGCACTGTAACTTTGGTTTATGTTGTCAGCAGCCCCTAAGGTACCCCCAGGCCATGATGGAAACCTTGTTAGTGGTGGCAGTTCAGCAATCTGATGGTAGGGTGGGCACTTCAACCCTTTTCTTGCCCGACACACGCTCTCCACCCAGTCCCCGTGCACAGTCCCCATCTCCCCACAGACACAAGCCTGTGCAGTTGCTCCGAGGCTGCCTTCCTTGCTGCGCTGATTCTCAGCACTTCTGTTGTAATTCCTGACTCCTGCTTCTTTTCTGGCCCTGCCTTTTCTCCCCCTATAATTTTCTCTCTCTTTTTTTTTTTTCTTTACTATCTTTACAAGCCTCCACCTTCAGTAGTGCCTCCAGGTCCCTCCCAAGAGCTTCCCTAAGTCACCACAACCCAAGGGGTCCAGGGAGATTCCCTCATGCAGCTGTTCCCAGGCCATGCATGTGATGGCATGTGAAGGGCTTCCCACCTTGAGATCTTCCTCTCCTCTGTAGAAACCTGGCTGCTGGTGTGACGTGAGGTAGTGACTGCTTGTTGGCTGCCACGCATGCATGAGAACAATAGTTCTGTTAGTTCTCTGGCATTTCTGGGTCTTGGGAGGAGGGCAGGTATGAGTTGGTTTTCAGGCATGGCCAAGCTTACCTGGCGACTGGACCACTTCTTCCCTGGGTCCCTTAGGAGATGTTCACACCCCAAAGTTCATGATGGATTGTCTTCAAGGCTGAGTTGCTGCTCTGTTTTTCAGGAACGTATAATGTTTCCACACCAGAAACAACCAGCTCATCCGTGGAAAACTCATCCAGTGCTTATTCTTTGCTCAACTAAAAACAGGAAAATCCAACCTACGTGACCTCCGGGGGACAGTGGATATGCTTTTAAAAAGAGATTTTTTGCAAAGCAATGGGGAACATGTTCTCTGGGCAGGTTTCCGGGAGCAAATGCAGAAAAGACTTTTTTTTTAATAGAGGAGAGGTGTTTTTTGGTAAGACAGACTAAAAGTAATTGTTATGTTTATGTTTGTTCCCTCCCCCTCCCCCTTGTGTGATACCACATATGTATAGTATTTAAGTGAAACTCAAGACCCCCAAGGCCCAACTTCTCTGTTTATATTGTAATATAGAATTTTAAAGAGACATTTTCACTTTTTACATATTGGGCACAAAGATATGCTTTGATTAAAACAGTAAGTAAAAGGCTAGTACATAGGAAATAGTTCAGTGAATTGTAAGAAGGAAGGAAGGAAGGGAGGGAGAAAGGGACGGAGGGAGGGAGGAAAAGAAGAAGAAAGGAAAAAAGAAGAAAAAGAGAAAGATCAAAATAGGAACAAATAAAGGGAAACAACATTAAGGGCCACATTTTAAGATTTCCGTGTTAATGATCTAGTATAATCACTGAGATAGTACAACACTGATAATTACTTTTTAATGGCTCAAAAATGGAAATGGAAAGTAGTCATGGAGAAGGGATACTTTGGGAAATATCTTCCTGAAGTCTTCTTAGCTAAGAGTAGGGGAAAAAAAGGCTGAAAAATAGGGAGGAAATTCTTTCATCAGAACGACTTCAAGAGGATAATAATATTTATAAGAAATAAATGGAAGGAAATATGATTCTCCTGATGCTAAACACATATTGTATGTTAAGATTTGAACTAAGTAGAATGTATCTGCAGAGGAAGTGTGATAAAGATACGTCATTAGATCCAAGTGCTGATTAAATTTTTATAGTCTATCAAAAAGCTATAAAACACATTTTAGTGTGTTCCACATTTTAAAAGCAAAAAATATATATTTTATACACCTTTCAATTGCCAAATTTGAGACATTTGCACTGAAAACAGACCTTAACTGTCATATATTTCATGGCTTTAAGCAGGTACTTCTCTGTGCATTATAGAATATATTTTAATAATCTTATAACATTGTACATTACTATTGCTGTTGTCACCATCATTGTTACCATGGATAATGGCCCTTGGTGTGTTGTATAGCTCCCTATGTATTCTCTCTTTCTACCTTTAAGTTCCCAGACCAATACACATTAAGAGTTTTGCGTGGTCTAAGTTGTGTTTATTCCAAGCACTTGGAAAGCTTCTGGAAAGAATTTGTACATTTGGCTGTTCTGTGCTCCTAATGACACTTGACTTTGATGAACAAATGGTAGAGTTTCCCAAGGATTTGATCGTGAATTATCCGCATGTGTGATTTTTTTGGTGTGTATGTATTTCATTAAAAAATATAAATATTTATGAAAATTGCATCCTTATTAGAGTTAACCGTGTGCCAGCAATACAGCAACCCTGCATTGCAAATAAAAGCCTGATCCCAAAAGGAGAATGAGACAGAACAGAGATGTGGAAATGTGGAACTACTCAGGATATGTGGGTGGTATGGGCCCAACCATCAGGAAGACGGGGCAAAAGAGGCTGAGATTCAGCAGCCATTTTTTAAATTGAGGTTCAAAGAAATTTTCTTTTAATGTTTTAACCCTTAAAATATCTTCCTTTAATTTTTATTTTTTAAAATTCTACTTAAATTCTACTTCCGTCTCTCTTTTCTTCATGGGGAAGAAGAGGTATGGGGCAGAGGTGGGACAGACAGTTAATGTAAATGAACTCTTTATTTCTACGTATCACAAACGACATAGACATCTACTGTCACATTTGCCTGAGAAGTGTCACATCCCTGTCCCAAATGAATGGTGTGTTACTTAAAGTCCCTAAAAGAAATCATTGTTATGCTTTAAGTGCATGCCAAGGTCTTCAGGAATGATAAACTTTGGGCGGAGCTTGGTACTAAGAAGATGGAGTCAGAGGTTGAGTTGGGGGAAATCCTTTGAATTAGACTTAGAGAAAGAAGGCCTTTGACTGATTTGATTCCTGGAGTGACATCAAGAATTGAGCCAGGCTTGGAGCACAAGGTGAGCAGGGCTATCTTGACATGATCAGTCAAGGAAAGCACACAGTATCGGGAGCAGGATGTGGTTGTCATGTTCAAAAATTCAGTGAGACAAGAAATGCTGAGCTTCCACCCACTGCAGCCGGGATCCCTTGGGGAATCATCATGTTCAACCTGTGAAGGGAACTTCCACCGTAGCAGGAGCCTGTGGGGAGTTGTACAGGATGTGGATCTGGCCTTCTGCTCACATTCATTAACTGGAGCATGTTCCCTTATCCCCAACACACACATGCGCACATATATGCGTGCAGGTGCCTTCACCGTTTCAAGCCACACCACTGCTCCAAATTCCAGAAAAGCTACGAAAGCAAATAACTGGAGAAACATTTGCTGGTTTTCTGCCCACTGTAATACACATTAGCCCAGCCACTACCCTTTCCCAAGAAACTCCTAAAATGAACAGTAGAATTCAAAATTGTAGAAGAGCAGTTCATGAAGCTGAGAATTTTATGAATGTAGGAGCCTCACTCAGCCCTGAGGTTGCCATCTCTCAATCAGCAATTATTGCAAGGCTATTGGCAGCAGACTGAGAATGAAGGCACATTGAGTTGTGCGATCTACTTTGTAAGGCGCCCAGTGCTTCCCTGTGTTCCTGACCTCTCTCAGTGTATTAAGTCCATCCCCTGGGCCTAAACTCTCTTGCATTAGGAGCTTTCCATTAAGTCAGTTTCTTGCAAACAGCTCTGTGCTAATGCATCAAAGGCCGTGAGGTTAGAACACTCACGAATGAGCAGTTAATACAGATGACAGGAATATTCTCTGGGAATATTCTAAGACCAGACTAACATATCTCTTGATCCTCCTCCCCCATTTCTTATTCTTTCCGTAGGGAAACGGTTAAATAAATGTCCATGGGGTTTTCAGGTTGTAGGTTGGTAAGGCCAGAAATTAAGAAAGAATGTGGGAAGTCACAGCCTTTCGTGGTTTGTATAGAGAACTTCAAAGAGGTCCATGTTGGAATGCTTCAGAAAAAAAAAGTTACATGGAGATGAGAACGATTACAGCAATTGGTAAATACTGAAAGGAGGTATGGGTGAGTAATTGAGATGAATGGAGCAGAAACTCATAGTCATTTGAAGACAAAAGGAAATAGAAATGCCAGGTAGGTGGAATGCATTTATTTTATGCCACGTGATGATGAAGTTAAATAAGGTCTCTGCATCCCAAAACTAGTGACCCAGGCCAACAAGAGTCTGACTCTCCAAGTGTCTAAAATGAATGTGGAATTTACAGGGAACATACCTTTTGAATGTGTTTTTAAAAGGGCAATGGAAATAGCGTCTCATCATTTCAAGAGGACAGTAGTTTAGCTTTGATATTAGGTAGTATTGGTTTCTAACATTATGACTTGGGATTTAAAATCACGTCATGCATGCCAGCACACAGCTATGCTTCCTTTCCATACTATAACAATGAAATACCTAATAAGATCTCCTCAGCTGTCTTTGCAGTAATTGTCTGCCTTCTTACAATTTGCTGCTGCCACTGCTCAGGCTTCTCCATGTCACCCAGAATGCAGCTCCATTCACCAAACAGCCAGTGATCCTGTCCATCTTCCAGACATGGGGGAGGCTGGGGACTCACAGGTGAACTCAACTGGCTGGCAGGGCTGATGACTTCCCTCACACCATCTGCACTCCCAAGCTCTGTGCAACGATCCAGCACGTTATAGAAAGTTTAAACAAGGGTCCTTGAAGTAGTGTTTAGAACCAAGTTGTCTGGTAAACAGATGCCTGTTCCAACATTTGTGTGTAGATTGCTTGGAATGTTCATTGACGGCTGAAAACAGAGCCCTCATGTCCTATAGATGAGTATACAGGGTGTGAGGGCTCTGTTTATCCTACAGCACATTCTAGACGGAAACCAAGTTTCCCATTCTTAGTGAATATGGAGTGGACAGAGGAAGAAAAGAGAGGCAATGGGCCAACTCTTGTAGCCTGCTCTGTGCCAGACACCAGTTCTTATCTTCAAATGCCATCTGTGTTAGTGGTGGGCATGGGGGCCTTGGTTGTGGTGCCCTACAATTCAGACACAGCATTCCTGCCTATTCTTAAATGATTTTATACACACCAATTCTTCCCTTTCTACCTGTAAACTTTGCAGTGAAGTTGAAAGGCTACTGGTGTCCATGACAGGTCCGTCTGCACACATGGGGCATGGTTAGGAGATACATAGCCTGTTCCCACCCCAGGGACTTAGTCTCTCATGCAGAGCCAAGTGAAGGATGCCAATGACTATTAAAGTCTAAACGGAACAAACCCAGGAGCCTGATAAAACAAACAAACAAACAACAACAATAAAAACGTGGCTTTATTCTCAGCATGAAAGACAAGAGGACCCGATTGGGCAAGTGGTGGGCAGATTGGTGTCACGGCTCGGCTCACTTCCGATGACTTTAAACAACGAAACCCAGGAATGACTTTGGGCCCTGCCTTTTTCGGATTTTGATTGGTGCCATCCTGGGTTTTCCAACCTGCCAGCCAGCCTGCACCCCAGCAGTTGTGGGAAGAGGAATTTGACTTTGATTAACCGAGAAAAACTGTGCACGCATTCTCTGTTTTTTTTCTGGAACTGTGAGTGTTTTCCCATGCCCCAGGGGCTCCCTCACAGGTGTCCTATCCCAAGCAGTCCCAACAGGAATCTCCAGCTGGGCTGGAGTGACAGCTGGCCTCAGGCACCGCGGCTCCTCAACCATCGCCGGCGTTTCCCGAGGCTCGCGCGCCCCCTGGTGGGCATGAGAGGAGGCGTCCCTCGTTCGTCCGACATCAGGAAGCGCGTGGGAGGCCGCGTTTGTCACGCGGGGGGCGCGCCCAGTGGGCTACATCCAGGAAGTTAATTTGCGTCATATGGACAGAGCGAAGGTCAAGGCATAGCAGAAAACAGAAACCAAAAATGAAAAAAATGTCTTTCAGTCCCTTCTCCTAACACTTTGATATTATTATCCTTGCTGGGGAAAGGGTAGTCAGAAAGCCACGTGGGTCTGTGGCGGGAGGGAACATCCCAGTCACATAGTTTCGGTGTGTGAAAGGCAGAGGAAATTTCGGGCCCCCGATTCACTAGCAAAGAGGAAAAAAGTATGGAAGCTGAGTCATGCAAGAAACGGCCTTTCCTTCTGTCGCTAAGCAAATAGCTAACAGATGAAAGGCTAGATATCTCCACAGCTAGCCACACTAGGTTCACCTTCTTTTATGTAAGGTGCCGATTTACTGAGATGAATACATCACTGACTATTCCCCTACCTGCTCCTTTTCTCTTGCAATGCATGGAATCAGCAATGTGACCACATCCTCCCTCTTTACCCCCAGCCCACTCTTTCCATTTAAATGTTGAAGCCCTCAAAGTCATCTTTGCCGAAGGACACAGAGCACAGATTGTCTCTGTGATTCTGTGTTCCTTTCTTCCAGGCATGTTCTTAATCTTGGCAAAATAAACTTCTAAGTTGAGCGGGACCTGTCTCAGAGACTGTTTGCCTTACAAGTGTGCATAGCACATCTGCAGGCAGACATACATTTCTAAGGCATACTTGCTGGGATAGCTCCTTCCACCCTGTGTCCCAGCTCACTGACCGAATCTCATTTATGGCACTGACAGCAAAGCTGAAAGCCTCACAAGTGATCTGGCTCACCCATTCCAGATAGGCTGCTGGAAGGTCGTTTTAGGAGGAAAAATGGGTGCCTTCCATGTTTCACAGGAAACTACTACTTTCTTCATCAAGGCAAAGGATTAAATTTTGCCTTGCAGTCCTGCAAAAGGATTAACTTAGGTGGTTCTATTCCGTTTCCTAGTTCATCCATTGAAAGCTACTGCTGGCCTGGATTTTCATTTTCAATCCATGAAGAATCTGCAGATGAATCTGCAGCTATCTCAGGGCTGTATGACTGTCCAGCCAGTGGCTGAGGCTGGATGGTAAGTTCCTAGCCTAGCCTCTGAGCACACATTGCCAATGTATGATCCAAGAAGACCCAGGAGAAGTAAACAGGGCCAACTGCGGGCCAGGCTGGTCCTTGGAGTAGAGAGACAAGCTGAACTGGCCTTTACTAATGAGGCAGACAGCTTTCCAGTTTGGGGGGATGTTACATGCCTTGGCCTGCTGCTCCTATCCCTTTGGAATAGCTCTCACACCTTTATGTTGAACATTCCTTTTACGAAAACAAATCTCAAGGACAGGTAAGGTTAACAAGGTTAATCTCAGGTTAATCTCAAAGACAGAAAAGGTATGCAAATATATCTCTGGGTGAGAAACACAGTAACTTCAATTTACCCTGCAATGAAAATGGCTGGTAACTAGGTAACTATGTTAACCAACATTTTTTTGAGCTCTTGCTGTGTACCTGGTGCTGTTCTAAGATTTTTATGCATATAACCTCATTTAAACTCCAGCAAA